TTCAGACATTCTGATTTTTCCATACGCAATACTTAAATCTCCCATTAGACCTCGCCCAGAGTAGAGTCTATTAAAACGCGTAACTTATTCATTCAACTGAGTCAATGTAACGGAGCATCACTAAGCTAGCGACGCAAGCGCAATCCTATTACGTGTTTGATGTCATTTACCGGCAGCCCAATTCATTATTATGACGGATTGCGATATCTGTTCGCGTATATCAATCTGTCAATGCAATATATTGTTATTACTGCATCTGAACGAATTAGAATAAAATATTTATCTACTATTCGTTTAACTGTTCCTTAGCATAAACATAATATATGTATATTTGTAATTTGTTTATAAACACGTTCTGTTAAACCTAGTTATGCTATTGCCACTAAAATGGAGGCGCCCCGTGTGCGAATTTCCTTCGGTTATAGAAGCGCGCTGCAGTCCAACGACTCACGCAAACACTTAAATGTAAATGAAATGAAATGGATAGCTGCAATAACATTTTTATTAGTTTCGTTTATTATTACACACAAACAATAAACGCATAACAAAATATAATAATGACGTGTTATAGCCTGAGATCAGAATAGGAGTTTATTTACCAAAATTCCAAAGAAGTTATACACATAAAGTGCAAATCGGGAACTACCGTATAGTATTAATTATTGATATAAAGATCGAAGAAACACAAAGAAAAAATCCTTCGACCTGACGAACCAGCGAATATTGCCTCAACGTAGCTACTAGTCGGCCAATTGAGAAGAAATTCTTTATATATGCTTGTTGTGGATTGTTGTACTGGGTTTAACGGTTTTTTTGCCGTCTCACAGGTGGCGAGAACTTATGAAAACTTTTTCACAATAAATGTAGGTAACTTTATCGAGTTCTTAGGTTTTGCGATTGATACACATAGGAAATGAAACTATTTTTTCCGACCGTCAACCGTAATCATGGGACCTGTAAAGGGCCCGAAATGTTGGTTAGTTTGGAAAAAGAAATGTTTATTAAAAAAAACCAACCTCAAAATTTCATGGAATTACATGTATTTGCCAAGTTTTATTGAAATCGGTTAACGGAAAATAGGTGAAATCCAATAAACCGGATTCATCCCCTAGTCTGCCACCCTTAGAGGCAATATTTTCTTCAAATTTAAATGGAATCAATACTGCGATACTCTTTCCAACAAAAAAAGAATCATCGAAATAAGTTCACAAATTTCCGGAGTTATCCCGTAACATTAATATAAAAAAAAATCCAGTTTAAAGTCGGTTAATAAGTAATATTCGTAGTCGAAATTTATTAGGAAGTGATGAAAGTACTAGTTCAAAATTAAAACGGACAAACTATACACCAACATTCATCAATCAAAATCCGGAAGTGTTTTATAAAGTGTTCTTGTTACAAAATAAACTAAACTGCCACCTTTAACATTGGGCGTGTTCGACATTTTATGTAATATTACGTAATTTTAATCAAAATAAATCATAAGTTTAACTAGTAATGGGCACCGTTCATATCTTGTTTTGATGCTTAGAGGTTAATTATTGGCCTTTAGTAACAGCATTTGTAACAACCTTTTAGTAAGTAAAAAGCTGCGGCAAAAAGTCGTTAAAAACCAAAACAAAGATGCAACAAGCACGTGGAAAAATTCGTGAGGTCCGTTGGTTCCTTCCGTGAGTTAGTTGGCATAGCGTCTGTCACGGTTTGCTAGGAGACGTTGGTTGGAATCCAACCGGATCGAAGTGGTTTTTTTCTGTGTTCGATATTTGCTTAATAATTTCACAAAAAGAAATTGATTGTCATGTGAAACATTCTGACATTAAAAAGCTTTTAGAAGCAGTAGAACTACTTGCAAAAGAGTTCGTCTAGGCAAGTACTGACACCTAAGCCACCTTACTTATTTCTGCCGCCAAGCAGTAATGTGAGTATTACCGAGTTTCGGTTTTGAAGGGTAAGACTGCTGGTGAAACTACAGGCACATGGGACTTGTCAACTTATGTCTCAGGGTGATAGGCGCAGTGGCAGTGCCTCTCATATCTTTGCGATTTAAAGCTCTGAGTGGCACTGCAATGTTATGGACAGGCAGTACTTCCCTGGACGAACTCTTTCCAAAGGAGTTTTACTGCTTCCATTTCCACTCCCGCGTTGATATGTATACGCCGCATTTACTGTTGAATCTGCATTTCCAAAGACAACACGTCACCACCGTTGGAGAAAAACTGACAATTTAATACCAACTAAATAGTTTACTAACAAAAGCTTTATTTTTTAACTTAAAAAAAAATTAACTTGCTCAATATAATCATTGGAAACATTGTTTTAGGTTATAGAACTGAATGTTTTATCATTATTTTCCAAGACTAACAAGGCCATTTACCTTTAGGACTTCAAGAGAAGCCAATCAATATTATTATTAATATTATACTGTTAGGTCACTTTCATTTTAAGTGCGTGGTACTTTTTAAGGATTCAATCCCTGACTAATGTCGAATGATTCTCCATTTGGTTGAGATAAATACATATCTTTCACCACATTTGATCCATATCGCACTATAGTTTCAACCTTTCATGTGACCAAAAAACCTTCGCAGTATTCCCATTGCTATCCTAGTTACTTACTACACACAGTTGCTGTATTACGAGATAAATTCACGCCGTATGTGAACAAGATTAAAGATCTTTCTAATTACTTTCGCTTGAATTTGAATTATGCATGTAGTAATTATCTAGAGGAAAGCTGTTACTTAACGGTTGTAAAATAATTGAAACAATTTCTTAAATATCGAGTTTTTAGGTTTTCGCGATTGTCACACATACGAAATGAAATTATTTTTCCAGATTTAAATCGCGTATTTTTTTGTATCAAAACCGTCACCATGGGACCTGTAAAGGGCCCGAAACGTTGGTTTATTTGAAAAAACAAATATACGCGATTTAAATCCGGAAAAATAGTTTCATTTCCTACAACTTCTTAAGTGTTTTGTTTTTCATAGTTAACACAATTACATTCACTACTTGAGTAAGTTCCACTTTGGTCAGGGGTTCAACATATAAGGGAAGGTTGGCTGATATATTTCAATTATTAGATTCAGGCGTTACTTTGCGGAAGTCGATGTTAGTAAAAATGGCAGTAAATTAATTTGCCTAACAATTACACCCTGGGATATATTTGGTGGTGGTGTTTGTGACTGTAGTTGCGCTAGTGTTTTTTATTATATTAATTTTATGCCGAGGGAGGGTGAGACAATTAACTACATGAAAAAATATTCAGCACAAACGCAGCAATTTTGCACGATTTAACCTTTGCTGGGTTCGCGGAGTAGCAAATTAATTTACTGCCATTTTTATGGAAATATTCTTCAATATAATTCAGTTTTTAAGTCATAATCTTTTTAACTCTAGTGTTGCATCGATAAAGTGTGTTATTAATAATTTGTTTTTTGACGAGTATGTATTTACTTTATTAGTGTTGCGAATATGTCACAGTACATTAAATAGTTATATAGTTATAATTTAAGACTCATTAAGTTCAACTTAATGTGTGTCTATTGGTGAGGACCTATAAGTGGCTCCCCATCATTATTTGAGTTTTTGTTCTGTAAGACAGCCGTTGGTCTTCCAATAAATAGCAGTAGAGCTCCTTGTGAAAGAGTTCGTCCAGGGAAGTACTGCCACCTTATCCATTTCTGCCACCAAGCCGTAATGTCAGCATTACTGTGTCCCGGTTGTGAAGGGTAAGGGTGCTGGTGAAATTACAGGCACATGGGACTTGTCAACTTATGTGTCAGGGTGACGGGCACAGTGGCAGTGACCCTCAGATCTTTGCAATTTGAAGCGCTGAGTGACACTTTTGGCATATTTTTGTACGTTGCAATTTATCTGAAGTTATTTATTAAATTATGTAAAAAGATATACGAAGCGAGTGAGGGGTGAAGAAAGATGCCTGACTCTCCAAATGCAATTTCAGCGTTTATTAAAGTAGGTGAAAGATGACAGAGAAGACAGAGACATAATCAGCTAACCGTCTGACGAGGCAGCCGGTGATCGATGGTAATGAACGACGAATTTATGAGCTTTCATCCAAGTATGTCAGCGGAGGTGGAAACACTGGAGTGCTATTACAAACAAAAAAATAATTTTTTTCCTGAAGGACATTGCAGTTGGCCTTGATATTCAGAAGAGCTGAAGACTCGTATGACGTTCGATAATTTCCTTTTACAGGTTATAAGGTAATTTAATGAACACTCCTATAGCGTATTCTACTTTGATCCCAACGCCATCTATCGGCAAGACGAGGTTATTAAATTATTTCGTGTTAAAATATTTGTCGAGTTGCGGTGCTACAATTTTATTTTGTTTTATATGTGTATTTAAATTTTGTATAAGTTACTATAGACTGATTTATTTCAGACGTAGATTGATTAGTCGTAAGTTTATATAATGTCAAACAACATTACATTGCAATTCCTTAATATGTCTTTGTATATTGTTATTATTGCAAGCTATCATGTTCCTTAAGAGCCGATACTACTCCAGCTCGAAAAACATTTTTCCCGTGCTAAATTATATAGCGCGGGTCGAGCGGCAAGGCTTTATTTCGGAATTTATTTTTCTTACAAAACAAAATTAAAGCCTTTTGAAAAACGGAAAAGTTCAAGGAAGTAATATATAAATAGATATTTTATTATAATGTTATCACATACGTTTTTGCTTGCGATACGTGCAATTACCTAAATAATATCCAGTTCTTTAAATCTAAAAAAGAACTAGTGTTGCCACTGTTGATTTCATGTAGCAATGTATTGCAATATACTGTTACAAATTCCATGCAATTAAATGATCTTCTCCAAACTGGGTTACTTAAAACTTGCCCTCATATTAAAAAAAAATAACACGCACACATCGAAAGCGGGAGTCACTACGAGCGAAAGTGTTTGCAACATAGATCTACGAAACTACTTACACGCAGTATATAATCCGAGAACGGAGTTGTATACACCACACTCCAGCGCAACACTCGCTTAACAACAAGTAAAGCGAAGATGAAGCTTATGGTTAGTAAAAAAATATACACCTATACACGAATTAAAAAAAATGTGCCCACAGGAAGTGCAGTGAACAGTTATCATTGGACAGTGAATCGACTAGTGTAAAACAGAAGCCTAATTGTGCCCAGTTTTTGTTAAACGGTGATTCCAACTTTCATGGGATTATAATTTCAGTGCAATGTGAAAGTGAAATCTCCATCAGAGATCTCTATAATTGGGCTTCTGATTTGCGGTGCGATTATCATTTTGTTTTCTATATTATACCGTACATTTAGACAATATTTTCACAAGTATATAATTTTCGGATTACAGAGGTCTACCTTGTTCCTGGCCGTGGCTATAAGCCTGGCCACGGCAGAGGAAAAGGCGGAGAACACAAAGGCTGAAGCAAAGCCAGTTGAAGAAAGCAAAAAACACGAGAAAAGAGGTCTGTCCGACTTGGGTTACGGTGGCGGTGGCTACGGAGGAGACCATCAAGATTTTGGCGGTGGTGATCACGGCGGCGGCGGCGGAGGCTTCGGGGGATATGAAGGCCATGGCCATCAAATAGAAGAACATCACGAGAAAACTATCACCACGGTGAAGAAAGTAGAAGTTCCCTACCCTGTGGAGAAGCACGTCCATGTGCCTGTTGAGAAACACGTGCCAGTACCTGTGAAGGTGCCCGTCCCACACCCGTACCCAGTCTACAAAACTATTCATTTCCCGGTCAAGGAGATCATCAAAGTACCTGAGTATATCCCTAAACCTTACCCCGTGACCAAGCATGTACCCGTACCAGTCAAAGTGCATGTTGATAGGCCTGTCCCAGTAAAAGTTTACGAGAAAGTTCCCTACCCAGTCGAGAAGCACATCCCTTACCCCGTGAAAGTGCATGTACCTCAACCCTACCCTGTTGAGAAGATTGTGCACTTCCCAGTCAAAATCCCAGTCAAGGTGCATGTACCTTATCCAGTTGAGAAGACCATACACTACCCTGTCAAGGTCCCTGTTGACCGACCTGTGCCTGTTCATGTTGAGAAACCAGTACCCGTACACGTAGAGAAGCCTGTACCTTACCCAGTTGAGAAGGAAGTACCCTACCCAGTCAAGGTACCCTATGACAACCCAGTGCCTGTCCACGTTGACAAGCCTGTGCCAGTGCCTGTCAAAGTGCCAGTACCAGCTCCTTATCCAGTAGAGAAGGTCATTCCCTACCCAGTGGAGAAGAAAGTGCCAGTTCCAGTGAAGATTCCAGTTGAAAGACCTTACCCGGTCCATATTGAAAAACACGTGCCCTACCACGTTGAAAAGCACGTGCCCTACCCAGTGAAGGTGCCAGTGCCAATAGTCGAAAAGGAGCACCATCATGAGGAACATGTCGAGATCCCCCAACAGGAGCATCACGAGATCTCTCACAGCGAGGATTATGGAGGGAGCTTTGGGGGAGGTGAAGGGGGTTACGAGGGTCACGATTTCGGAGGACATGAAGGTGGACATGAGGAGTACCATCATTAAACAGAACTGATCTCTTTTATAATTTCATTTTAGCTTTAAATGTTAACTCGTGTATAGTTTGCGCTAAGTATTGTTTTTTGTTTTTTACCTCTGGACTGTGTTGTATATACAATGTAAATAGTACCAAAAGTATTAAAAAACGTGATAAATAAGTAAAACTCTCTTTTTGTTTAAAAACCATTACTTAAGATAAATTAACGCATAAATATCTCCGATTTATTTGTTACGATTAGCACTTCACTAGCAAGTGAAGATACTGTCAGAAAGAAACATAAGTGAATATACGTTAAAGAGTTAAATAACAACAGACTTACCGTCAATTAAATATCTTGATAGAGTTCAGTAAAATATCCACTTAAAAATACGTAAAATTTTATTCGAGTATAGCCCAAATTATCTCACGCAATAGAACATTAATTTTCCATTCATAATTACAAAATTGTTTGGAAAACGTCTACAGTACTAAAAGCATTACGTAATGTTTTATGTAATATACGCAACGTAAGCTCTATGCGGATTCATTGGGTTAGCCGGCAAAACGGTTTTATTAACAACAACGTTTATAGTAGCTTTTTCTATTTTAAATTTGTCAATTTCAAACTATCATATTACCTTTCTTGAATACGTTGATAAACTTTATTACTTTCATTTCTAATCAAATACTAAAATAGTAAATTTTGGGTGACGTAAACATTAAAGAAGAACGTAAAAATTAACACAATGATAAGATAATATTATAACGAATACAATTGCATGTACCCTTTGAAGTCGAAAACTTATCAAAATTTTATCAAAAAAATTAATACGCCGCCTGGGAAACTCAACAGCCGGTAGCTGCTTTGCCAACGTATTATCATCTTGGGCACCTTGGCGCATTGATTCAATTTTATACATGTTTTAGTTTCAAATATTTAAATATTACTTTTTACTGAATTTTTACCTGTCTAAATAAATAAATGAGTATGCACCCAAATTCTTATGTCCTATCTAATTATATATTGAGATATAAACATCTATATTCATAAAGAACGTTCAGTAACTACCACAACAATCCTTTTTCCGCAAATTCCTTGAACAACTTCGCCGCGGTCTGTTTTACGTAAACTATTTTCTAATGCCTCGCTTGTAACCGGTTAGTGTTCTATTCCAATAGATTGAGTGTCTGTATCGAATAGTATTTTAGAATCGTGCCGTGTGGTTCCTTGTTATATACTCAACTGTGTCTGCAAAGCGTGGCTTTACCAATTTAATGTCTTTAGTAGACACTATAAATCTTCTGTAATAGGTTTAATACCTCATAATTGCCTATTGTAGTGCCTATTTGTAGATTATATAATAGTAGCTGGTGCCCGCGGCTTCGTATGCGTAGAATAAATACTTCGCGTAGCCTATTACTGGAGAAATGATTGGTTTTCCATACAAACTTTCATTCCCTATTTCACCCGCTTCAAACTTTATTTTTGTGACAAAAAGTAGATCTTCCTTGTCCTAGGTCCCATTTACCTCTTTATTGAAATTCATCCAACTTGGTTTTTAGGCTTAGGTATGAAAACTTAACAGACAGAGTTATTTTTGCATTTATAATATTAGTTTGGATTAGCTGTTGTGTACTTTTGTAAAATATATTTAAAAAAATATAAAAAATGTACATAATGTCATTAAGAAACAAGATATCCATAATATTAACTTTAGCACGATTTCGTTTAACTAAGGTAAACGATTGTTTTATGGGGAACTGTTTACGTTTTTACAATACGATTATATATTAAGATTATCATTTCCTAAGTTTAAAACTTACTTTAAAAGTATTTTAATTGAAAAGTCATATTATAAAATTGAAGAGTATGTGTTAGATAAAGATGTATGGAAAGACAACAAGAGTCTAGATTCCACACAATTATGATTCAAAATGTATTCCATAGCATTTAAAGAGTTTCTTGCTCATTCTTCTCAGGGAGGTCAGCGTAGTGATCGAGCAATAGCCTAAAAAATTACGTTTTCAAGTATAAAAATATTACCTATGGAATAAATTATTATTTGACTTTGACTTTGACTTTGACTTTGTAGTCTTACCTTATGTAGGGTATGTTGGCAGGAATGTGGTATTTTGCACCTGGGTCGAAGTCCAGCTCCGATCGCAATACTGGTGGCTTGATGCCTTGATACTGCTCCCTGTGTAGAAAAATACCATTAGTGTCCTAAAAAAACACTTTTAAGAGAGCGGTGGTAACCCAGTGGGAGGTTTTTAGTCAATTGGGAGCTCAACAGTTCGATTCCCTTTAATGGAATGTACCGATATTAATATCTAATTTATGTTTGTGGATATTTAATGCCTCTCACTAACAATGAGGGAAAACGTCGTAAAGAAACTTGATGTACTCTCTCCTTATTGGAGATATGTGCCCAGAATAAATAGGTTGATGATCTTGTTCTTATTGTGACAGCAATAAAATATATTATTATTGATACAATGATTCAATCTGATTGAACCAGCGTCTCTTGCCATGCGTGCTTAAGCAACTGAGCTACAAAACGAGTCGGTTCTTAGATCTAACGAATTTCTCTGTGTTTATTACAGATCTTTGAATAGGTGTTTAAACGGATATTTTACATGGTAGGAAAACGTCACGTGTAATTTAATTAATAAACAATAACACAACGTATGTCGCATAGGAAATTTCTTCCACGAAGTTGTGATATCATCTCAATGATTCATATTGGGTTGATAGTTGAAGAAATCATTTTTCGGTTATTGTCGGTGTATTCAGTACCTAATTCCCGTTGCAATTTTTATTATTTAAGCATTCGAGTATGTTATCATCATCACCGTATTTAAGAGCCATGTTAGTGTAGCCGCTTCCACTTCATAGCCAGCCCCTTGACCTCATTACAGCTGTTCACTTTGATCTTCTTTTTTGTTTGTTCAATATACGCCATTCTTGATCTTCCAAACTTATCCTGTCTATCCTCCCCTCAATTATCACTCTTACAAATTCGTAATTACGTGACAAATGTTCAAATATTTTCTCCATTCTGTTCTCTATTGTATTTTAAAAGATTTCTTTTCTCTCCAACCTTTTTTCAAAACTTCCTGTTTGATTTCTTTTCAATCCATTTTGTTATCATGAAATATTAGTTTATATATAAAAGTAAAAAAGTAAAGTAAAAGTAAAAGTTTATATATATATATATATAAACTTTTACTTTTACATTTTTACGTTTTTAATTTTGATTTTCATTTCATTTTGATTTACGCCTAGTTCAATCTATTGTATTTTTTTTTGTTTTTTTTTATCTGCTTGGACGAAGCGACATCATCCTTGATAATTTATTCACTGAAAACCAGCGTAATGAGACGTTGTTACAAAAAGCATTTTGGTAACTTTTAAACATAATTCTTTTATTTTGCGTTTTATCCCAAGGTTATTTTATTTTTAGTTATCATTCTGTTATATATATTTTGTCATAAGGTTACCAAATAAACTACTTTTCTTTCTTTCTTTCTAAACACCTAAATACACATTACACGTTTTATTATTTATCGTGCTGCCCCAAAAGTGATAGCAGAAAACCAGTGCTTTTTGGCAAAAGTCGCACTGACCTAAGATCTCTTTACTAGAACCTATTGTTATCTCACTAGGTATAAGCTGTTTTCTATGTTCATATGTCAAAAAAGCGAGTGTAGCGAGATGGGTGGACGACATCGTCAAAATTGCGAACCATAGATAGTCGCGAGTAGCACAGGGTCGAGGTGAATGACACTAATTATAGGAGGCCTATACCCAGAAGTAAGTGAAGTCGGGCTGTGGATGATGATGATATTTTTTTTTGTTTATTTTCACTGTCAATCATAATTTTTGGTTTGCGTCTGTTTTTCTTTTAAATATTTCATATTCTTGTGTGTGCCCGTGTCTTTAAAATATCTTCCATATTAAAGGTTTCATCCATCTATTTATGTTTTTATATAAGTATTATTTAATATTAAACGAAAACATATAAGAACACTTACATAATCAAAATTACTACAGAAATTTGACAGAGAATCGAGATTGACCCTCATAACTTTAGAAATAGCTTTTTAATTATCAGTAAAAATCGAAACTTTTAATAACATAAGTGTATAAGATTGTGAACGTTCAGCCTACATTTGAAACGGACTCGTGTCATAAAATGTTCATTGTATTCGATTGCACGTACATGTACGATCAAAAGAGGTAACATGCAAAGTTTTCAATGTAACCGCACGGTAAAATGTTTTTAAAAAGGATATTTAACTACGCAATTGCTGGTTTAAACCGCGGTCTTAATTAATATAAGAAATCGGGTTAGTCTGTCAATGTATATGTAATTTTTATCTTTAGTAATCGTACTTGTTTTATTAATACGTTGAGCAATATGTTCAAATTGACAAGTCTCGATGTTAGCCCACAATGAACCAGTCAAAGTCGGTTTAATTTTTGATACAATGAATCTGTCTGTAAAAAATTGGTTTGGAAAGGTAAGGGTGTTGATGAAATTAGGCACATGGGAATTGTCAATAAGTCTGAGGGTGACAGGCGTAGCGGCAGTAAACCTCAAATCTTTGGGATTTAAAGCTTTGAGTAGCTCTGCAACTGTCATGGACAGGCGTGTCGTTTATCACCAGATACACCACTTATCCGTTCCAACACACACAGTGGTCTAAAGTTCTACAACCTTGGTGACTGAAGGAAATATTTTTTTAGGTTTCTAGTTTGCATTAAGCCTGGGTTTCCTGGACAGTGTCCATGGATTTCATTTACCATCCTGATACCCGTATTAAAGTAAAAAGTGCGTTAAAAAGTTCAATCCAGCCCGACAACCTGCGGCGATCAGCTACCACCACTTTGATGGCGTGCTCACGGGCACGTTGTTTAAACGGATATGTTATTAAAAAAAATCATGGTTTTCTCTCAGGTGGCGCTACGGCAAATAAGCCGTTAAAACCAGAAAACAAAGATCTGCAGCAAGAGAAGTTTGCAGCAAGCATGTAAGAAATTCATGAATACGCACACACTCAACATAGCCCCGCACTAGGGAAACCCTGGGTCGCGGGTGCCATGGACACACACATAGACAAACCCAAATTACACCCAAACTCACGAGAGAAATAAATGTAGGCCATATAAATATTTCTCCCGGCCCGGGAATCGAACCTGGGACCTCTGCGTGGGAGCGTATTATAGTTATATATTAGGTCTGCTGACCCGTTCTGTAGCTCAGTTTGGAGAGCGACAGCCCGCATTAGGCGAAAATATCGTTGGTTCAAGTCCAGCCATCCGTCTGAACTCAAGTCCAGCCATCCGTCTGGACTCAAGTCCACTCACCAATTCCCTCAAGGTCAACCTTGAGGGAATTGGTTTTTAATTAGTTAGATTTTTGTATTACTTACAATTTAAAACACACCAACATCAACAACATCAGAGTTGATGTGGTCGAAAACAGTCAAAATCAATTAAATATAAGGGTAATTTTCAGGTTAGTTTTCTATACCTAATTACGGTGGCAATTTTTAAGTAATCGAGTACTTTATTGTGAAATATGAAATCATATTTCAGGATACTCATTTCAATATTAAATAATACTTCATGACAATATTCTATAATATTCAAATAATAAAAATTGCCACCAAAATAAGGTAGACAAAACTAACTTGTAAATTACCCATTAACACGTAGCAAAGGCAGTTGCCCACTTTGAACCAATTGATAATAATACAAAATAGTCGATTGTGATCTCGTTCCTTTTAATTTGACCCGTGAGCTTAATTATCTCCTTTGCTTGCTAAAATTCCTTTTTTCATTGAGGCCGTATCGGTGACAAAATGTCTTTCTTTCTTTTAAATACATTTTCTTACTTGTAGATTGTTAATTAATGGTATATGAACTGTTATTTTGTGGCCATTAAAACATGCAATTCGCTTCAATCGAGGGCAAACACTTTATAAAACGATTCTAGTGAAATTGTCTGAAATATAAATTATGAAACAGAAAAAATAACGAATTATAATTAAAATTTCAAGTATTGGGAAACGACTTTATACATATTTTCGTTTTTAACCGACTTCCAAAAAAGGAGGAGGTTCTCAATTCGTCTGTATGTTTTTCTGTATGTATGTTACGCGATAACTCCGCCATTTGTGAACCAATTTTGATGATTCTTTTTCTGTTCAAAGATGGTACCTCAGATGTGGTCCCATTTAAATTTCAAGAAAATATTCCACCTCTAAGAGTGGCAAACTAGGGAATGAATGACTTTTAAGGTCGGTTTTTTTAACCGGAGGTTAGGTTATTATTAGAGTAATATTGTACAATGAGTATACATAGGTATGCTTATAATCTACGAATTACATACAGAAGAATCGAAGAATCGCTTACATCGTATATAATAATAAAGCGATGAAAACCAAGAAATAACATTTTCTAAATAAAATACTTTCGAAATAAAATTTATATTTCCTTTTTAAAGTGAAGTAGAAATTTGTCATATTTAGTAAATATGACAAAATAAAATATAATAAGTAGTAAAGAAAATTAACCTATCTAAGTTATTTTTAATTCATTATATTTTTTCCTGTACCTTTCGTCTCTACTTTCACGTACATACGAAGTCTTCTGTACTTTTTAATTGCCAAAATATAACACAATTACTCAATACCTTGAATCATTTCGGTCAAACGCATTACCTGTATTACGCACATCACTTTTGCTTTCGAGATTTGAACCCATTACTATACCATCAGTTAGCGAGTCAAGGCCGATCGTCGACCTCAATTTTGAATACTGACTTATTTCAACAGTTCTACTTCATTTGTTCATTTGAACATGAATAATATTATATTAAAATGCATATGCAATAAAAGCTTAAGAAAAATAGATACAAAATAATTTTGCATTGTTAGTGTTCGAAAATACTTTAAAAAAGTGTTAAATTTTTGTGAATTGGAAATGAAGCTACTTTATTATAATTATTTATAAAAAGAAAATTTACGGCCTTAAAAAATAAAATTACGACAGCAAATAAAGATTTTTTTCACATACATGCTCATCATCAAATAATTCAATGGCCTAGAATTTCTACGAAGCAGGCCCATCGAGGCATATCTCTTATGTCAGATAGCATAATATTGCATCGGCTGTTACCTGGGTGAGAAAGTTATCTAAGTGATAATTAATGTAATTAGATTTTAGTACGCAGACATTTAAATTAAGTGTCTCGGTTTTGAACTGGTTAGGTTAAGTTACACTAAGTGGAGTTGCGGAGCTTGGAAGCCTAAGACACAGGTCTCTTGATCTAGTTTAAATTCCCGTCTCCTATGGATTTTTCTTTATTAAAAAAACCTGGTTTTTGTTACATGGTGTTATTAATCTGTATAATAAAGTTTTTAGCACAATATCAGATTGCAGCTGTTCAGCAAGTATTCGTTTAACCATATTAGGACAATGAACAAATATAAGATTACGGAATAACTATCAGTCACTCCAATTGATAGAATCAGTCAACGTCTGACTGACTACCGCAATCGTTCAATCCGGTTTATTAACATTTCTTAAGTGGTTAAGACTTAAGAACACCAAGCGAGATAGAGAGAAACTGGTATTCACAGATGATAGCGCGCATTGGTTTCGCAACATACGTCTAAAGGCAGATACCCCATAATAAGACAAATTATGGCAACTCCCGCCACGCCTGTTCGCGATGGAAGTGTTACCGATCTGAGCGTAGGGTTGCCACAGCATTATTTTAGTACCTACAGATTGTAAGACTATTTGGAAAAGTAAAGGTGTTCATCACAATATGCACGCGTTATATTTAAATAACTTTTGTCAAATATGTAAGTACTGAATTTTCAAACCAGGAACGCGGATTAGTATCTCGATTATGAGTATGATTATGAAATAGAAATAAAATGCTGAATTTTACGCAATCTTATTCAAATGGCCACAAACACAACAATAAACACGTTTTCTATTTGCTGTCATTTTTTTAAACACAGAGCGAGCGCTTCAATTCTGTAATGAATGGCGCGTGTGACGACCCGCGTTATGCAATGCGAGTGCACCGCCAAATCATACGAATGTGTGCATCAGTACACGGCAAGTGACGGACGTGCACACGTACAAGTCGCGCTGCAACATTTCTACAGAGTTTCCAAATTGTCTTATTGTTACACTATGCCATAAGGGTGGAAGATGGTCTAATAACTTCTTTAAACGAAGCTGAGCGAAGAAATAGATTTCACACGAATTCGTAAGGTCCGTTAGTTCGTCCTGTGGCTTAGTTGGCACGGTTTGCTGGAAGACGTTGGTTCGAACCCAGCCGAATTGAAATAATTTGTTCCAAGTAGTCGATCTTTGAAAAATAATTTAATACCATGGTGGTCAAACATTGTGACATTCAATAAACTTAAAAATTACCTTTTTTAAGATTGATTATGGAAATCGCCTCACTCGTGCTGACCCATAATATTAAGGTTTTTTAATTCCAATGACTAGGTCTCTACAGAATAGAAAATAAAAATGCGATTTACCTTAAACTCCACCAATGACAGTTGTACTGTTCTTTCCTGACATTTCCAGTAAAGACATCCCATCGCCATTTATCCATGACCAGCGAGAAGGGCAAGAACGCAAGCTTGTCCATGGCTTGCGTGAATAGGTAGTTAATATCGTGAGCTGTGTCGTCAACGGAGCGTTGGACGAGACCCAAGGTTTGTAGGTGACGCGGTGAAGCTACGGACAGAGCTATTGTTTCGCCTATTGCTTCATGGAAACCTGTGAACAAAATTTCAAAAATTAAATTTCGTGGATAAATTCATATCTGTCAGTTGTTATTGGACTTTAATAAAGTTATTTTATCAAACTTCTTAGTGTAATCAATCACAATACGATTAAATACATTACTTAAAAGAGTTGCTTCAGTCATTGTGCTTGTTGTGTGATGAAAATTATGTGATCACCATAAATACGATCTTGTTTACATCAATCAGGTATTTTAGTGTAGTAAATTAAACAGTGAGGTGACGGGGTTATATCAGTTTTAACATACATGCATAATATCCTAGTATACATAATAAGTATAATTATAACTTTATATTAAAAAGTACTCGCTTCAAAAGTTTGTGGAATGAAATCTATTTTCCAAGTTTTATTGAAATTGGTTAACAGAAAGTAGGTGCAATCCAATAAACCGGATTCAACCCTATTTTGCCACCCTTAGAATTGAAATATTTTCTCTAAATTTGGATGCGACCACATACATCTTTCAAACAAAAAAAGAATCATCGAAATCGGTTCACAAACTCAGTGATGGAGTAATCGCGGAACATCACAAAAACAAGTACAGTCCTATTGAGAACCTCGTCCTTTTTCGAAGTCGGTTAAAAATTATAAATTCACTGTGTAACGAACAAGAGATGGTATGTCAATGGAAATACCACAATATATATACAATACAACAACAAAATATACAACAACAAATGAAGTCGGTCGATTTGTTTGAAAAAAAAACAAATATACGCGATTTACATCCGATAGTTTCACTACTAACTATAAATAAAATCAAATAAATATACGGCAAATAGCACTTAACATTCACAAAAGAGCAAATAAAGAATATTCGGAATGTTGCACCTTGTGTTGCGTCAATGATAAAGGTAAAAACAAACGTGACATGAGTGAAGATTGATAATCGTCGAAACAATTGCGATTATTATGCTAGTGCGTGCGTAGAAATTTAGGAAACAAAGTCAAAATTGCAATTTCTTTTGTCTCTGTCATGCCCTAGTTCCAGCAACTGACGACACTGGCCAGATTGGTAAATGAGACACATATGACATTGATGGTAATTTGATGTAATAATCATGAATGTAACAACACTATCGAAAATTATTTAAGGAGTATGTTTTAGGTTTTAACGACTATTTTAAAATATTTACGTCTAGTTTTAAAATATCATTATTTTGTTTTGAATTAAGTTTATGTTTTAAAGTTGAAATTAAAACAGGATGTACATATTTTAAAACAGTCACGATTACGCCTTTTCGACAAAACACCGACGACGTATTGTGACGGGATTTTATCACATGAAAGTCATAAAAATAATATGAACTACATGAAACAAATTATTATACGTGAAATTATAAACTGTCATGTCAATGTCAAAAAAAAAGCTGTCATTTAGTAGATGTTGGTTTATTATACCAAGTTTACGGTATATGGCGCCTTCGATATTTCTTTTCCCACTTGTTTTAATAGTCAGTACTGGTAAAGTCTCTGGCAATTTTACTTACACATTACGGACAACTGCTAGATTTACCACCCTATTGTTAAACACTAAAAACAAATGAAGGTTAAGCAATTTTTAAAACTCGAACTAAAGAACTTTCTAGAAATACAACGACAAATGAAGTTAGTCCGGTGGGATTCGAACCAGCAACCCTCAGACAATCCGTGCCAGATGCTCTGCCAACTAAGCCACAGAACGAACCAACAGACTTTACGAATTTTTCTATGTGCTTGTTGCAGATCTTTGTTGTTGATTTTTAACGACTTTTTTGCCGTACCATCTGTGTGTGTGTGTGTGCCATCTGTGAGAAATGTATTTCTTCGCTCAGAGAGGTTGTTTACAGCTATCATCGCTGACTGTAGATGTCGCTTTAATAATTGTAATTTTTAAATTCATTGTATGTCACGGTGTTTTACTACTATATTTTTTTTTTTTAATTATTACACTAGTTTGTTATAAATATTATAACAAACATCGAAAGACTAAAAAAATGGTTGACAATTGTTTTTTTTTATGATAGTAAGTGCAGGAACAAAGTCTTACGTAAGCGACACGCCTGTCCATAGCAGTTGCAATACCAGTCAGAGCTTTAAATTGCAAGGATCTGAGGTGCACTGTGCTGAGACATAAGTCCCATGTGTCTGCAATTTTACCACCACTCTTATTACCCTTTAAAACCGAAACGCAATAATTCTCACATTACTGCTTGGCAGCAGAAATAGTAAAGCTCTTTCACAAGGCGCTCTACTGCTGCTAAAAACATTGTTAAGCCTGTTTAGTGATAGTGCACAAGTTAAAACAATAACATGACGAGATCGTCGGGGTTTTACGTTTGTACTATGAGCGTTGGATGAGGAGGTCTCGGATTCGATTTCCAATAGGACTTATTCTTCAAATGAACTTATTTAAATTATTTCTAGTTAGGGTGTTCTGGGTAGTGTTCTGGAGTGGATTTCTTTTCCAATAGAAAGAGTAGTATGCCAATGGCAAAATGTACAATGTATAAAGAAAACCTTTATTATTATCAAATGATTCGTTTTTAATAATTGTTGTCAGTTGTTGGTTCTCCAGGATAGAATTCAAATTTCGTTTATCTGCCTCTTTCAGAAGAAATAACTATTTAACCCAATATACTATTTGTTTAGTCAACACATAAGAAGATGCAAGGCGTGGGCATGCGCGAGCTTGGTGCAGAGAAAGCTATTGCGGAAGCTAACCTGCTCTGATTGATAAACTCCTGCGCAATAAGAATGTGTCACGGAAACAGTCGGACATTCGGTTTTTTATCTTATGTAATGCTGGGTTTACTGTAATGTACAGATTTTATTCTTAGCTTTATAACTACGGAAATATTTATAGAATCTTACTTATAAAGTTTCTATGGCATCGACTATGTCATTTTACAACGAGTAGAGGAAAATAAAAAAAATGAAATAATTTCTCTATAATTGTTAAAAAAAAGTTACCCAATAATGCACCGAAGCTATTTAAGTAATTTAATTAAGATTATATAAAACAGTTGCGTAAGTTTCTTGCCATTTGGCATAATGTACTCATTTACATAGTTACTGAGTACAATTCACTTGATTAATGAATAATTGGTTACTTCATGGAATCCGTAAGCTGATAATGATGTACCACACAAGCAAAGAAAATTTGAAACCGGGTTCTGAATGGGAATGAAAACATTGGTTCGGACGGTTAAACGTGTAAAGTACCCAGCCTGCATTGGACAAACGTAATAAGATCTAAACCCCTTTCTTAGGAGAAAGCTGTGCTCAGTTTTGCAATTGCAATGCTGCTCAGAGCTTTAAATCACGAAGACCTGAAGGGCACCTGCATTGCCCCCGTCACCTTGAGACGTAAGTTGACAAATCCCATGTGCCTGTGTTTTCACTAGCACCGTTACAGATATAGGTAAGGCGGTAGTACTTCCCTGGACGAGCTATTTCACAAGGAGTTCTACTAAACTGTTCTAGATATAATTTTTATTATAATTGTTAAATAATATTGTTTAAGAGTTTGCTATACAGCTGAAAGTGGAAAATTCAATTTTACTTACGCTCTATGCAATAAAAAGACGAAAACTGCGTGGTTTCGTAAACGTGGCATGGAAAACTAAAAGAAAATTATAAGTTTTCAATTTTAATCTGAAGACATCTTTTATCATAAAAACCTGAATAGATATAGTTGCACATGTATAAAAAACCCCTTTTACAATAAGCATATTGTTCTAATATAAAAATAATGCTTGATTAGTCTAAAAATGACCCACAGTTATCTGGGTCATATTGCGAGCTGTAAACTTGACCTAGATGTGCGGCGCTGAGCGACTATACAAAAAATGTTATTACACCGATGTAAAGCTGCTGCAAGAAGTAATACTATTGCAAATCGAGTGGTATGTATGAGCGTACCACAATCTTGTTGCAAATATGTATTAATGTTTTGTAATAAAATCCTGAATTTAACTTTTTTTAAACCACTTGTTCTTGAATCTTATAATAAAAAAATACCAATAGTAAGTAAGTAGTAAAGTAGGGTCTCAGTTCAGAACGCTATTAGACACTTTTGTTAAAAGGGCGTCGTACAGAAGAGAATTAATGCACAACTGCAGAGTCTACGGATTTATAAAGGACCTCTTGCCAATCAAGCTCAATATGATGTATGTGGATAGAAAACGTAAGTTATGACAAATGTAAGGTAGTAAGTAGAAGATCTCCCTGGTTGATTAAACAAAATATCGAATGGACATGTTTTATTATGCTCTGTGTGTTAAGATCCCACCTGGTTCTCTAAACAAATATTTCTCAGTGGCGATGAACAGAGTTTACGCGTGTACGTTAACTAACAATCAAGTGTTGTGTAAAATCATTAAAATGTCATTGGGAAAGACCCTTTGACCTTGTCAAGCACAATTGAGTGTGTGGACAATCTTTCATTGCGAACTCGGACCACCACTTCACTTTTAAAAATGAGGTGAAAGTGGCTTCCTAATTCGTGAAATTACAAAGACATTAAAATCCATAATTTTGTTTTAATTCACGAATTTTGTATCGTATTCTTTTTTAAGTATGCTTAGTTTTTTTTTTCTTTCATTTTGCCACTAGCAGCTAAATAAGCTGTGGCTTAAACTCTGGATACACGCAAAATAGCCTTGGCGCCTTGACGTCGAGTTGCGGACACCAGCCCGTTACACCAAGTACCAAGTAAACTCTGGATGCGCAATAAAGAAGAGTGTGGTGGTTATATCAAATTTTTTTTATATATCTAGTGACGGGACGAACAATTACTATGAATTATCATGTGGTTTAATTAATGAAAGTATAAGAAACGATTTTTTGTGCGAAATTATGTCAAAGTGTGGATTATCTTTTCCAGGTGAGCTTTATATCAATGTTGTTGCACAGCGGAGGCTAAGATGCGCGTGAGTTACGTAACGAGTTACCGTAATCGCTGTTTTAATTTCCGTGAATTTTCTACAATCCATTCGACAAAATGCAGTGCGGTCTTTTTATAATAAATACAATTTATTTAGAAATATTGTTCATGAATAGTAAATAAATCCAATACATGTTGTATTATACATCATTTGTAATATTATAAGGTAAACAGATGTTTATAAAGTTCAATTTTGGTTTCCGCTTCCTATGGCGGTTGAGCATAGCGATTATTGTTGTTATTGTTTTTCTCGAACAGCGAAATCTCGAAAAGTCTAATTAGAAAGGGAGATGGTTCAAAAAGCGTGCAGGCTGACGCATCTTATGGTCAGCCCAGTATTTTTAGGAGGTTATTTCAACTAAAGGAAGCTCAATGTCTTATTTATAATAAAATTTATCACGTTCTTAAAAAGCAGCGACGTATAAGTGATAATGTACTAAAAGTTATTGATTTCCTTTATTAAATTCAAATTCGTTCGTGATATTAATTGCATCTAATGAGTAATAATCATTAATGCATAAATTTGACATATTTATAAAAAATAATAATAATAACGACCCAAAAGCTATAAGATTTTTAAAAGTTTTTATTTTAATATTTTTAGCTACCGCGCAGTCGCGTGCCAGTGCACGACACAAAGTATCTTTATACTGTCCCTTTTTATGTAAATAGTTTCTGTTTTTCATTTTTTTTTGTTTTATTGGAGATTTTGTTTTGAAATTATTTATGTATTACGTTTGAATGTGTTGATTATGCCTTGTTTTTCTTCTATTTTCTCGTTTTTTTTCATTTGTGATAAACAAATTAATTGCATTTTTTTCTTTCTCTTCTTTTTAAAAAAGTACACTGACCAATCAGACTTTAAAAAGACCCACCCACATTTAGCGAACTCACTTGCAGTGTTACCCTGTTTCTTACTGTTTCTTAACGCACTTTGCTCCACATGTCGTAATATAGGAATGTACCACGTATCAGATTTAATTATGTAAACTAACAAGCAGAGATAATATAGGTATCTATACTCAATTACGCATCGAGCTTTATACACTGTTACCTTTTAAAGTGCAAATTTGAATGGCAAATGATGCAAGGTATAATTTTTAGTAAATTGTTTAGTCTAGTTAGCTTTCGTTCTCTGTAATAATAGCTCGAGAGATAAAATGTTTACAGTAAAAATAGCTTCCGTGTTAAACATGTTTTTAGTTTTTGCATTTAATGCATAACTGATTAACGTAGCTAGTGCAATCGGAGTAAATGGTAATTTTATTTTATATTAGTCAAAGTAGTGTGAAAGTGGATGGAAATGCAGGGAAACGTTGGTTTGGACATTAATACGTACACCACATCAACCATATTTTGCGTATCCTTAAAAAATAAAAATAAAAATAGTGTCTCAGTCGATAAAACAGACACACGAACTAGTTTTAACGATTTTAAAGAGATGTCGCTACGGTTTGACAGTTGTGGAATCTACACGAGGTACACACTACAATCTACGCTTAGAGGGTGGAAAAACATAAAAGAAAGGAGCTGCCATATCTATAATACAGGTGTCTAACTAAACAAAAATTGTACACCACAAGTGGCGGATTTCTTTAGTGTTGTACCATAATCATCGAAAAGTCAATATCGACATGCAAATGTATGGCTTCAATGTTGAAACTTTTTTTATGTTTGTAATTTCCAATCCGCATTTCTCCGGTTCCCATGTTAGAATGTACCTATTCTTGATATAAACGCAGAACATTCCGGAATGCTACGGAACATAGACTGCTACGTATATTACGTCATCATAGGTTATGTCACAAGAATTTTAACATTGACGGTAGAATCTTCGATGCAAATTGTGGATGCTGTATATTGCGCATGGCATTTCAACATACACCTTTATTAATGATTTACGTCTTTGACTGTTTTAAAGATTATTTGACACCCGTCTTAAATAAATAACAATTTTATAACATCACATAGGTTGCTCTGATCCCGAAGTAAGTAACAAAAGTACTTGTGTTATGGAAATCAGAAATATCGACTGTACCACAAACACCCAGATACGAGACAATAAAGAAAAATTAATTGTTCTACATTAACCCGGCCGGGATCGAACACGGGTCTTCAGAGATGGCGACACCATGAAAACCGGTTTGCAAGCCACTCGACCACGGAGGTCACGAAGGTCTTACATTACATTGTACGCGGAGGCTTTATGGTAAATCCGGAATATATGATTAGGGTAAATTACACCGTAACCACTATACGATGATATATTATTATGTATTGTAACGTAAACTATAACGACAACGAGTATTAAGTTAATCTTTTGAAAAAGACGGCATTTCAATTATTTACGTCTGGCTTTGACCACCTCGGTCAAATTGTGATCTTTTTGATGAGGAGATGCTGCTGCTTATGCGTTGAGTTTCAGTTTTATTAGTAGTTACAAACAGCATAGAGGAATTGATATATTTTTATGATGAAAAATCTACGGAATACAACAGGACACACAATTTCATAGTCTGAAATAATAATAATATCAGTACTAAAAAAACCGACCTCAAAAGCTCGTGGAATTACATTTATTTATCGAGTTCTTAGGTTTTCGCGATTGTAACACATAGGAAATGAAACTATTTTTCCGGATTTAAATCGCGTATATTAGTTTTTTCAAACAAATGTCAACCGTAACCATGGGACCTGTAAAGAGCCCGAAACGTTGATTTGTTTGAAAAACAAATATACGCGATTTAAATCCGGAAAAATAGTTTCATTTCTTTCATCTATTTGCCAAATTTTATTGAAATCGGTTACCGGAAAGTGCGTGAAACCGAATTCATTCCCTAGTTTGCCAACCTTAGAGGTGGAATATTTTATTCAGAATTAAATGAAACTACTATCGAGGTACCCTCTTTTCAACAAAGACTTATCGAAATCGGTTCATAAATGCCGAAGTTATCGCGTAATACACATATAAAAAAGAAGTCGGTTAAAATGTCATTTGTCATTTTAACCGACAACAATAACAATAAAGCTCCATCTGTTCGTCCAGAAAAGTACTGCCACCTTATCTATTTCTGCCGCCAAACAGTAACGGTGAGTATTACTGCGTTTTACAGGTTCTGGTGAAATAACAGGCACATGGGACTTGTCAACTTAAGTCTCAGGGTGACGGGCGCAGTGGCAATGCCTCTCAGATCTTTGTAATATAAAGCTTTGAGTGGCACTCATTGCAATTGTTATGGACAGGCGTGTCACTTACCACCAGGCGCACGACTTCTTCATTCTGTCACTAGGTGAAATAAAGAAAAAAAATGTTTTGCGTATAAACCATTTGACGCGGTATGTTACTTATGATTTTATAAGTCACCTCATACAGCCTGTAGTGTAATTCAATTATAACTACGACCCAATTTTGAGTCAGTCGTTATACCTTCCATTGGGTGATAGGTCACAGTTAATGTATTTTTTAATTGTGTAAACTTGTTTATCTTTGTTAAATTATGCAGTGTTTTAATTTGTTAATCGTTTTAGTGTTAAGCATGTTTTATTTTGTGCGAAATGGTAAGGCTTCGTTTTAATTTGAATTGAAGGGTTTTTAATGCACATTCTATTACCGTAATTAAATTTTATTTGTATTATATATATATTATAGATATATAATTTATCAAGATATTTAAAAAATTAGGTTTAGTTACATTTGTTTTTGGAATATCATTACGGAAGATGTTAACTTCCGGAGAGGTGGGAGACAGAGGTCTGGCCCTTGGGTCTTCTCATGAGAGGAAGCGATACACTGCTACAAAAAATGTGATCTAAATAAATAAGACATTGTTTAAGGTGATAATGTAGTTTGTTTCCATCTGAGCCCGTGAAGCACAATGGTTTAGAAGCAGTAGAGCGCCTTGTAAAAGAGTTTGTCCAGAGAAATACTGCCACGTTACCTATTTCTGCCGCCAAGCAAATTTTGAATGGTAAGGGTGCTGATGAAATGACAGGTACAAGGGACTTGTCAATTTATGTCTCAGGATGACGGGCAGAATCGCAGTACGCCACAAGTCTTTGCGATCCAAAAGTATGAGTGGTACTGCTGTACGATTTGTTCACCGCGTCACTAGTATAATAAAAAAAATGCTACCAAATTTTAATTGAATTGAATCATGTGATTAAATCTATCAATAATCTAGACTAAAGTCCATTTTGTTCAATACATGTTCACTTTTTCTGAGTATTCAACATTGACATCGAAAGTTTTACTACCCCAATTGTATAGTTTTAAAGTAGGTTACTATCGTCAAAGAAGCCTTATGTTGGTGGTAGAGTATTATCGACCGTGGTATAAACTTGTTAATTTCTCACAAGTAACCTCTACAGGTATAGTTACAACTTATAACCTAATATAACAATATTTGTGACATATAATAATCAACCGTTTTATAAACATATAAAACGGTTGATTATTATATGTCACAAATTTAAAAACACCCTTTTCAAGCTGGGGCTTGAAATAAAGTTGATTATAAAGACAGTATTTGAATTTAGCTGGAATTAATATATTGTAATTTATTATGTATAATTTATGTGTTACAATATAATTATATTTAACTGAAAAAAAAAAGATTCAATATAAGCGCAGCTATTATGCACGATTTAACCTTTACTGGGTTCACGGAGTAGTAGAGTAAATTAATTTACTTCCATTTTTATTAACATGGATTTTCGCAGAGTAATGCCAAAATTTTCTAATGAAATTAATATAATTTATAAGTTTAGTGAAACCTCTAAAGCGAATATAAATCCTTATCACCTTGAAGCTGGTCATTGTACTTATAATAAGAAGCAAAAATACAACGAAAACTTGAGAAAAACAGTTTTGGTTTCCTTTAGAACAAACCGCGCATATTTTCTTAGAGGAGAATTTTAGTAGCAGTAGAGCTCCTTGTGAAAGAGTTCGCCCAGAGAAGTACTGCCACCTTATTTATAAGCGGTAATGTTTGTATTACTGAGTTTCAAAGGGAAGGGTGCCGGTGAAATTACAGGCACATGAGACTTTTCAACTTACGTCTTACGGGCGTAGTGGCAGTTCGCCAAAAAAAAAAAAAAAAAAAAAGGCGCACGATCTTTCCATCACTTGATATCTTAATAAGTTTCACTCAGCAACAGGTCAAGCTACACAAACTATAAATGTTACGTAAATGATGTGAGGTGTAATTTTAATAACTTTTTTATACAAAAAAAAAATCGACTTTAAAAGTTCGTGAAATTACATCTATTTGCCAAGTTTTATTGAAATCGGTTGCCGGGAAGTGCGCGAAACCGGATCCATCCCCTAGTTTGCCACTCTTACAGGTGAAATGTTTTCTTCAAATTTAAATAGGAACAATACTGAGGTATCGTCTTTCCATCAAAAGAATCATCGAAATCGGTTCACAAATGCCGTAGAGATCGCGTAACATACATACAAAAAACCTTTTTTGAAGTCGGTTAAAAATACTAAAATGCTTCTTTGGTACCGTTGTTTTTTATGACCTGAAAAAATAAATATCTAATTCCAGCCTCATCTATACTGTGCTACGACTGCAACAGCGCTTTTGACCCTCGCTGTGGTGAAGAGTTCGACTCGTTTAGCCTGGGCATCGTTAATTGTTCCCTCAGAGACCCCTTGGAACACATGCCTGATGTTGAGCCTACGCTTTGTCGCGCAATTAAGATGGAAAGTAAGTACATAAATGTTAAGCAATTTGTTATTTAGTTATTATTATTGACACAAAGATCAAACAATCACAAAGAAAAATTCCTTTTCACCTCACTAGCTCAGAAAGGCTTTCTTGCTCATTAGAAATCTGCACGCAAAAGCGTTTTTTCCACGCTAACGTGGAAAAGGTTTTTGAAATTCGAACTTGACGATGGACGATGACACAATGACACGTTCAACTACGCGATTTATCGCACATTATTTATGTAATATAAATCCGTTGGTATGTTTTATTATTCTTGACATTTAATTGATAACGATAACTATTTTGTTTATTAACACTTGTTATAGTTTAACTGCTTCTTGCATCTACCATTTTCCTCGCTATAGTGAGATGAAAAGTTGTGTGTCTCGCTCGGTAGCAAAGTTGTTTTGCGTCTCGTGTCTTGAAGCCCTCGCTACGCTCAGGATTCTATTTTTGAACCAATGAATAATATAATAACAAACTAGTGCAGTATTTTCACGAAAAAAATTAATATTATATTAGTAAAAACATCATGCTATTCAATAAAATAAATATTGTTATTTAGTATTAAAAAGACGTAAAATACTTTGCTAGTAATTTTTACTGTTAGCGTTGGACTGTTTTTGTTAAGAAAAGATTTTTGAGTTCTTAGGTTTTTGCGATTGTTACACATAGGAAATGAAACTATTTATCCGGATTTAAATCGCGTATATTTGTTTTTTCAAACAAATGTCAACCGTGACTATGTGACCTGTAAAAGGCCCGAAACGCCGGTTTGTTTGAAAAAACAAATATACGCGATTTAAATTCGGAAAAATAGTTTCGTTTCCTAAAAGATTTTTGACTAAATATTTTATGGTGAAAGATAGGTTGTCTGGGCTCCTTTGAACCGAACTAAGTGTTCGGTTCAAAGGAGCTCAGAGACGCGGTTGAAGATATGTAATACATAAATTTCCTAAATGTTCTACCTCTTAGGGAAACTTCATGTCAACTTTACTTGACACGCGCTAAATTATTTGTTTTCCAAATAGCTAAAAATAGCACAGAAATAACAGAATAGCATGATGATTTTGAGTTTCGACATCTTTGGGTGTTGACCAAGTTTTATTGAAATCGATTTACGGAAAGTTGGTGAAATTTAATAATCCGGATTCATTCGCTAATTTGCCACCCTTACAGATAGAATATTTTCTTCAAATTTGAATGGGACTACTACTGATACCTCTTTTCCAACAAAAAAGAATAATCGAAATCGGTTTATTAATGTCGAAATAATCGCGTAACAAAAGAAATATAGCCAAAATGAGAACCTCCTCCTTTTTTTTTGAAGTCGGTTAAATACACACATAGACCATCACAAATTACACCCAAACTCACGAGAATAAATGTAGGCCATACAAATATTTATCCCGGCCCAAGAATCGAATTTGGGAGCCTCTGTGTGGCAGAGTAGCATGTAGTCCGTCCACGGAGACAATTAATTAAATTTAGCCTACAAATAAAAATAAAAAACCATAAAGATTACTTCAGCCGTTTGGGAGCTACTATGCTACAGACACACACACACACACACACACACACACACACACACACACACACACA